TACATATTATTGTATACTTTGAGAGAGATTGCTTGCCCCTTGTCCAAAGCTTCGGCCACTCCATTGGCCTTCAAGACTTTCTTATAAGTTTCGAAGCTCATAGCCGAAATTGTGGCTCCCGAATCGATTTGGACTCGGAGCTTTGCGTTGCTGGCTAGTCCAAGAGATGCGAAGAATTTGTTTCCCGGAGCTCTCTCTGCCCTTTCCTCTCGGATTGCGGAGATGTCGAAGTCTGAACTGCGGTCTTCGATTCCCTCCGAGTACTCGAAGTCGTTTTCGGTTTGATCATCTCCTTCTAATAGGTGGAGTTGTTGTTGGAATTTGCTTGATTTGCACACGAGGTCGAAATGATTGAGTTTTTTGCATGTTTGGCATCGATGATTGTACGCGGGGCATCTCCTTGGCGGGTGTTGGCTGCCACAGAATGTGCAAGCATTTCTGGTCGGGGCCATTTCAGCTCGTTTGCTGCTTCGCGTTTCCGCTGCTTGAATGGCTGTCTTCGCTGCATGTATTTCGGTCTGTTCCCGAAGCCCTTGCTTGCCAGTTGTCGTATCTTGTCCTCACTTGCCATCTCTGCGTTTCGAAACGCCGGTAACAGGTTCGTTGTTTGCTTCGGTTTGCTTCATTGTGGCGACGATTTTCTCGATGGTCCATTCTTTGTTGATATCCGCCTCAAATATGATTCTTTGCGCAACCTCAAGACTTGTGCCGCTTATGAGTTGGTTGATGATCATCTCAGATTCTGATGTGAACTTGCAGGGCTTGACCGCTTTCATAATGCGATTGACGAAGTCCGTCACCGATTCACTTGCACTTTGTTTGATTTTTGAGAATTGATGCCGGCGGAAATAGATGTTTTCGTTGGGCGCGAATATTTCGTCCAATTTCCCGATCATCTTAGCGAGCGTGTCACAGGGAGAGTCATCATCCGTCGTACCGTCGTCGGCTTGAATTTCTCGCAGATTCAAAATACGCAAAAACTGTCCGTTGTGATCACCGAAACAGGCTCTGAAGATTGCTATTTGCTTCCTTGGGCACTGCTCGTAGAGATCTTCGACGAGGGCATAGTCACTGAAGGCTTCCTTGAAGTCCTTCCACGATTCACTGTTGTCCGCGCCTTGGACCATCCTGAATGGGCCCGGTCTTCGCGACGTTTTCTTGTCGTCTTCCATCTTTGTCTTTTTGAGAGTCTTCCTTCTTTGATCACGTATGATTTTCTGTCGTTCACTCGTTTTTTCTCGACTGTGCCATGATCGTCATGAAATACGTCAGCTTCCTTGGAGATCTGGAGAGACTAGGTCTGCTTCATTAGGATGACAACGAATGCTCTCTGGCGTAAGAGAGGGGGAAAGGCGGTCAATCTGAAGACACCACAATATTACAAGAAACTATATCTCCAACAGAACCCCAATATTCTGAGAAGATACAGGTAGAAGGGGAAGCCCGACAGTTTCTGCATAGATCGGATATATGATCAGCCCAAGTCAAGGGAGTGTTGAGAATAACCCCCAAGCAGAAGGTGGTTTCGGAGAACATCCGGATCACCCCATCAAGAACAACGTTTCAAGGAGGGAGAGAAGGCGGATCAGAAGAAGCTCGGATTTGGATGCATCGACTGCGCGGCGGAGACTACAGAAGGTGGCTAAGATATTAGCCAGATGAAGATTGGGAGAGGAGAGTTCAGAGGACAGATCGTCACGGCTGATACTGAGAAGGGGCCGAGTACGGAGCCTTGACACACACAAGTCACACGGCTCGGCAGCGTTTCAACTTCTGGTCACCACAGAGATCTCTGAGGAGCGTCTGCCTCAAACCCTTCGATCGATCCGACTCTACCATGTTCGGGATCATTTCGAGAGTCGACACGGCTTTCGCCGCATCGGGTTGTATGCTCTCGAACAAGTACCGCCTTACGGTAGTAGCGCCTTACGACATCGAGAGCCTCAGTGACTGATGGGTGCGAAGTATTTCCGAGATCGGCCATGTCAGACTTGGCGGATTCGATGAGCGACAACTTTCGGTTTGTAAACAGACTTCACGTCCCGATTGAAGTCATGAACCAGCCGAAAGCCGAAAGGTGCAATCGCGCATCACGTGCGCTCGAGATATTACGCACGATTCGAACACTGGGAGTCTGCAATGGCTCTCATACTCCGATACCGGAAGATCGGTCCGTTGTAACCGTACTGAATTCGAGGAGAAGTATAGGATGCGGACTCCGAAAAAGGTCCGCTACAAGCGAAAGTCCGTTGTATCCGAGTCCGCCATGACCGACCCTCTCAATATGGTTTCCTATAGGAACTCGGTCGGGTCCGCCGGAAAAGTCCGTTATAATCGAGGGTCCGTTATATCCGGGTCCGTTATGACGAGGTTCTACTGTCAATCGAAGTTCACTAGGGCGTGTTCCACACAATCGAGCACTGACTGTCCCTCGAAGACTCAAACCTATTGAATCACTATTGAATAACTCAGAAATTCGGATGATGTCCGAAGAAAATTGAACTCAGAACATGAAGACTCCACGGAACGAATGAGAATACGTTTCACGTCCATCCTTACGGTAGTGTCTCTGACACTACCTGCCTGGGGCCGGTGCGGCGTCTTCCCGTCGTCATTGAACGAATGTTCTGACGAATGCCGGCTATACGGGTCCACCAAGCGTGGTGTGTTTCCACAATGACGATGTTTATGGCGAGTCGAAATAATTCACATATATGGCATTACAGAAAATACACACGGCTCCTGTCGTCGCGTCCGTCATTGGCGAGCGGGGCCGTTGCTAGAAGGAGTCCCTTCGACAAGGAGCTCAGTTTCTTCGTGAGCGGTTCGAACCAAGTAACTTTACTCCTATTGTACTTGCCCATTACGGATGGGTCGTTGATCTCCCACGCTTGGCTCCGTATTCCTGAGAATACAATGAAACATCGGTGAGCACCTTGGAGTGCTTCCCCTCGGTGCGAACTTCGTATTCTCTCCATCTTATGAGAAGCCGAGGACAACGGCGGTCGGCAGACGTGTCCTCCGAGGTACTCACCGATCGCTCGCATCGAAGCATGTACGGCCGTCAGGCGGAATACTCTCGTTCGCAACTTGAAGAAATCGCGAAAATTATATCATGATCATTCCCTCAAAAGCAGCCCGTATCCACTCGTACTTGATAGAGTTCAGATTCCGAAATTTTGCTCACCTTTGTACAAGTACCAATGAATATCGCGATCCATGTGTACCAAGGCAAAAGCTCGTACTGAAATAGGAGGAAGACTAGGTCTCTCGTTCTTCTGTCGCGATATCTAGGACTCGGTAGTGAATTCAGCATGTTCAGCTTCCTTGATGTTCCATTTATCCGTCTAAAAATGGACTACTCGTGATATTCATTTGGGAAAAAAATCATCAGACGCTTAATCCTCACGCTTCACGCCTTATACTCGCGCTTCACATCTAATCCCCACGCTTCACGCCTAATCCTTACGCTTCACGCCTCATCCTCACGTTCCAAGCCTGAGTCTCACGCGCCAGCGTAGTCCTTCCGTCTTCTACAAAGCTCGGTTTGACAGGAGCCCTACAGTGGAATGCTTGAAAGTATACTTGATAATGAGCGCCCGATCCGAATGAGGGCCGGCCGGAGAAGGTGCCCGAGCATACCGTTCTCGCAGTAGGAGAGGAAGAGAAACGCGAACTTACTACATCCAAGAAGCTTTTCTTGATGCGAGCGGAAGGTGTTGCTTCGTTGTATCCTTCGCTTTCTTCGGCCATTTCTTGGGGCGGAGCCTCCGACCGTCTTCTTCCCGTCTCTGGGTTATAAAGAAACCCGCCTGGATCATTGAGAATTGCATTAGCTGTTATCCGAGGTCGCTCGGAGGACCTAGTTGGTCGACCAAATCGGTTTCCCTGAGTAGTATCTAGTGAGGATGACAACGACACAACCTGGGCACATTGCGATGATCATTGTGTTTTTCGATTGTTTTCGAAGACTTTCCCCATTGAACCGCAGCTCGGACCAGCCAAGGTTCCATGCCTTCCGCGAGAGGCGCGCTTTCAGAGAAACTCACTCACCCCAGTCAGCGTTGGGGCCACGCGCGTAGAAAATTTGTTGTCCATCAAAGTCCTCCGAGAGAAGGACGGAGTTTTCCCGAGACATCAAAATCTCGTCTTCCTGGTCGTCCTCGCCTGGAACGACCAGTTTGTTTGCTCCTGGGTAAATCAGACGTACGGTTTCGAGCCTCACTCGGCCCGCGGGATCCTGAGGGATTTCGTGGATTCGCCGCCCAGGGCCGTCCGAGATTCGGACGAGTTGCTTGCTCGTCGACATCCTGTTTGCCTGTACAAAAGGAATGGGAATCAGAAAAAGGAAATGGCTGCTGGCTCCTTGCCGAGCAATCACTGGTGTGGTAGGGCAATCGTACCAGTTAGGGGACACGCATCAGTTATGGGACAGTTCTCTCATTTTCCGAGACTTCGACTTGCAGCGAGCTGTAGACAAGGATTTCACGGCGGAGATGATGAATCCAGATGTCGAGCTCTCAGTCCGAGCTCCAAAACTACGTTTTTTTCCCTCGCACCTCAGCGAGGGACCCTCCTCTTATCAGGCACCATACAGCCATCGATCGGCACGGCCTAACCAATTGTATCACCCAGCCGCCCTGACTTAGGTTAATAGTCGAACAACATCCGGAACTGCGTATGCATGAGACACAGTGAGGCCGAACAGCAACCGGAACTACGTATGCATTGATCTCGCGTCATTTTGGGTCTGCGTCATTTTCCCCCGCGTCATTTTGAATTCGCGTCATTTTACCCGCGTCATTGTCGCCCGCGTAACTTTCGGCTCGTGTCATTTTCCTCGCGTCATTTTCGTAGCGTCATTTCGTCCGCGTCACTCTATCGTACACCCGCACTACACATCTATGCACGAGTCCCATAAGCCGAAAGCTGCCGATTCTCTTCAAACAGCTGCGAGCATCATGCAGACCGTCGCAGCGGTTTCAACAAGTCGCGCTGTCGTAATGACGGCGTCTGCTTTCGTCTTGCACGCCAACTCTCGGATTCGCGTACGCTGCTTCATCGACAGCGGATCGATGGTCACCTTCGCCACTCCGCGTCTCGTGCGGAAGCTATCAAGCATTCGGCCTACCGCGAGAGTTGAGCTCGACCTACAGGGTTTCGCGAGCGAACACGCTATCACCACTGATCGGTACGTCCTCCGATTGGCCAGTACATATAGCGATGCGGACGCCGTCGACATCCAGGCCCACGAGTATGAGTTCAGGCTGGATCCGCCGACGAATTGCTCCGAAGACATGCGTCGGCTGATATCACGTTTCGGCCAAGACCGTCCTCTGGCGGATGAGTCACTCACGGATCCACGCTTCGATATGCAGACCGATTTGCTCATTGGGATTGATCAAATGTACGAGATCGTGCACCTGAATAACGGATAGTCCATTGGTGGAGGGCTGGTTGCGAGGTCGTCACGATCCGGTTGGATCATATCCGGTTCATTGGTCCTGGAACTACGCGCGGCGACGTGGCGTGCGATCTCC